GGCAACCTCTTCTCGACATCCTCAGTTTGCCCCAAACCTTCCTTTGGCACCTCGCCCTCTACTCTTTCGCCCGCCTCAATTTTTGCACTTTACCCCACAATATTCCCATTATTGAACTCATTTACTTCATGCTTTTCAATATCCGTATTTAAATTACCATTTGATGTGGCTTTATCGTGATCGAGCATTTTGTTACCCGAGCCCTTCCATACCTATGAGATACCTCCTACATAGCTCGAGGTACATCTTGTGCTCGAGCACATGGCCCATAATCCTCGAGCTATCTCACCAATGTAATCGAGAAATTTGGTGATAAAGGTCATCGGGATATGTCTTCGGGTCACACCACGTCGCGACGCTGTTCATCCTCAGTATCATCCTTCACTCATAGGCACCAATTCGACCAAGGACTCTAGCCCTACCTAATCACCCCAAATTCAGGGATCCTAAGTCATGAAGGAGTCTTATCTGAGGAAACACCTCTAATGAGAGAGGTTTGGACTCCTAATCACCTTCCAACACTCATCTCTATAGCCAATCCGAAAAATAAGGGGATGAGTCCTACTAGAACTACTCTACCTACCTCTATAAATATATCATTCTTATTCACTATCCAGGTATGTTTTTACATATATTCTCAGCATATATTCTCCCTCAAATACTCTTTCTGACTTAAGTATCGGAGGAGCGACGAGGCCACACCTCGATACCTTTGTTTCAGGTACCGAAAAATCTCGTTCGTACTCGTTCTCGGTCGTCTAGCTTGGGAAATCAACATGTGCAATTTTTTGGTAGCATCACCATTAAATAAGTCTGGCGTTGAATTTACGCTTTCTGGAATTGGGTTTAATGTACAAGAAACCACTAAACAATGCCGTGAAAATCGAGACTTAGGAGGAAGTCAATTGAACTTATGATTTCTACTTCAGAAAATCGAGACTTAGGAGGAAGCCAATTGAACTTATGATTTCTACTTCTACATAGAATTAACGGAGAAGCAAAAAGGGACACCCGAGGTTTCAGACAAAATGCTATATTATTGAATTGCGAGAATGAGGACTTGTAAACAAGAGAAGCTTGAAGTGTAGCACTCATAACAATACAATTCTCAATTCAAAAAACCAAAACTGACTATTAAATTACGATTTATAAAAAGAGGGGTAATTTCTTTATTCTTATTGGGTTTAGAGTTGAACTTACTCACAATTCACAAACAAATTGACAGCATTTTCTACTTTTCTCTGCACCACAAGATTGGGTTGTAGATATTGAGAGAGTAGAGAGAAAAAAAACCTTATCTTGATTGAAAATTGGTGCTTATGGTTTGTGGTCTTTCTATGGAAATGGAATACCAGTGTAAGCCCTATGTCACTGGAGATGGTCAGATGGGAGAGAGAGAGAGAGGATAAGGGAGAGAAGTCATTTACCGTGTTTTCTAAAATTAACTGTTTTGGCTTCAAAATTCTCAAAACGTGCTTTTGGACGTTTTTTGTGCAATTTTTTTTCCCATTTTCAAAAACGTGTTTTTACTGTTTTTGAAAATCGAAAACAGAAAATGGTAAAGAGAACAGCTCCTTAATAATTTTCAAATTGTGAAGATATTAAACTTGAACTTCTCAATCTACTTAATTCTAGTGAAGAATTTGAACTTGAACTTGAACTTATTTACCAACATCTAGTGAAGAAAGTGATGCAAACTCTCACTTTTGACTATGAAAGTCGTGGTCGCCGTATTGCAATTTTAATAACGTCATGTTGCATACTTACGTAATGAAAAATGTTATTCATCCCCAGTGAGGATGCATCCCCAATTTATGTGAATGTAAATGATTGGTTAAATGATAGGTGAAATTAAACGACTTATTTAATTTCACCTATCATTTAATGGCACATTAACGCCACATAGATTGGGGATGAATAGTATTTCTCTTTTTTGTGGGGTGGGGATAGGAGAAATTAAACGACTTATTTAATTTCACCTATCATTTAATGCCACATTAACGCCACATAGATTGGGGATGCATCCCCACTGGGGATGAATAGCATTTCTCTTACGTAATTGGATAGCTAATGAGATTCATTAATGAATTAGTTCCGAGATCCAAGGTTGTACGCCATCGAAATATCTACCCTTTCTTCTTTTAAGATGCCTGAAAATACGATAAGCGGCTTTTGAGATATTGCATTTTCTGAAGGGTATGATGATTTACAGGAATTTTTTCATCGAATAATTATTATTGTAACAGTATGGTTGGCACAATTAATCCTACTCATAAAGAGAGGAGTGAAAATTGAAATGCACCCACCACTCTCTCTTCTAAATATTATTATTATTATTATTATTATTATTATTATTATTAGTTTTTGACAAATATTAACCTTCCGTGTTATTAAATTCTTCCTCTTTTTCATGAACGAATTCTTCATCCAATTAAGCAAAATTAACGAGAATGCACCATCCATTTAGAGATAAATATCTCTCTCTAGTCTCTCCCCTTTGTTTTTCACAATTTCAAGTCATGTAGGCATTTTTTCGTCAAAATATATAAAGTCGATCAGAATGCTTAGTTGATTTCGACACTTTAATCTTTTTCTTCAACTTGCCTTAAAAAAAACACTAGTCATTTGGCATGATTCAATTACAATTTTTAAGGGTTCTATGACAAAATTTTTGACAAAAGTTTTATCAGATTTAGATAAAAGTTGATGAAATTTATAGTTGTAAAATTGATATAAATTGTAGATTCCACGAAATGTGTGGTTAAAATTAAAGATTGGCCTATTGAAAAGTTGATAAAATTTTTATTGAAACTTCTCGAGTAACAAATATACCTATGTTTGGTGTATATTAAAAATAAATAAAATCTTAAATCAAAGTAATAATTAATTTTAATTATATATTTTATTAGATTCATAGCTTTTCAATCATACATTTCATTAAATTTACAAATTTTACTAAAAATATGATTTAATCTACATCAAAAAAGAATTATGAGTTTCGAATATATGGTGTGGAAGTTACATAATTACCCTTAGCATGATCAAGTATATGACGGGTGCACAAGGGCGGACCGTAGGTGTGGTCAGTTGACCCCCACACCCACAGAATTAATTTTCTCACTTTTTCCTTATATATTATTTCTTAGTTAAGATGAGATTTGGATGAAATTTAACATGTCGATAGCTTAATAAATATCATCAATATTTATTTATTAAACATCTATATTCTATACTTCACATAGAAATAAAGACACACCAATATATACACACACGTAGATATATTAAAAATATTTTTCGAGAAACTTTGACCATTTTCGATTTTCTTGATTAACCTAAAAGTAGAAATCTCAATGATCATTATACTTTCAGCGTTATTTTCTAATATTTCCGAGATACCAATACTCAATACTCCCACATATAACGTTTATAGTAATATGCACTGAATTATTTTCATTAATGTTATGATTGAAAATCTTTTGTAACTTAATTTTTAATCTCACCGTGAAGAATATTTGACTTCATCACAGTAAAATTAAATCCAATTATATTTATGTTTTTATTATGACTTATAAAATTCCTTAAATTTGTATCTTTATTTTATTTTCTTAATTATGGTATTTATAAAACATGCACAATGTTGTCTTATCCCTTGTGGGTCCTATCAAATTAATGATCCAATGGCTGCAAAAAAGCCACGCTTGACGGTTCGGATCCGCGTGCTTGTCCTCCACGCTACAATCTTTACGCCCTTTTCAACGGCGGCGATTTTTTGCAATTTCCCAAAATCCTAATAAATATTGGATTGAAAAATCTGTCCTTTGCACTTCAACCTACATTTCATTCATGTCCCTAAACTTTAAATTATTTCTTATGCCACCCATTTGACCCTCATTTCTCCTCAAACTTATTTTGAATGAAATTCACAATTTTTCAACAAAACGTCATATCAACTTTTATCAAAAAAATCTAATTTTATACCAAATCAAATAGGGTCTATATATCTTCTGAACTTCCAAATCTAGCATCTGTCTGTTGGAGATTTTCTCCAAAATTTGAGTGAAAATTAGACCGTTTAAGTCAACAGGTGGGGGCCACCTTAGAGAGGAAAGTTCAAAAATGGTAGGTTGCCTTGTGGTTTAACGGGAAGAAAATCAATTCTAATTGGGGAGAAAATCTACAACAGACATGTCCCTAATTCTCATCTATCTAACATTAACTTTGTATGTTATCACCTTTTTGTGATTGTTCATCGTGTTTTATGTTGATATAAATACGTAATACTACTTACAAAAATAAAATTTTATGGCTAAAATAATCACTTTTATTTATATACTCAACGCCCAACATGGTGATTAGTGGGTTTTCAAATCAAATGGATGGAAGGGTGTGTAATGTCCCTCCTTCATCATTTTTCTAGTATGACAAGGCCAGAACGACATCGCAGGATAGGAATTAAAATATTTCAATTTTTCTTCTCGTTTAATTTTGTCATTCCTAATCAGATTTGTGAGTTCGAGCAAATTAAAAACAATTTAAAGGTCAGGGAAGTGATAAAAAAACGAGTGAAAGTTTAGGGATAGGTAGGGTATTTAACACTATTTATTATAAAAAAAAACAAAAATTAAAATAATATATTCCCCGTATTTCCCGCCGTGGCCAAAATTTAATACCCAGGTTATTAAATTATAAACTGAAAAGACGATAACATCCTCTGGCCTTCCTAATTGACTTCATTCCACTGGAGTGCAAATCTGTCTTTTCATCAGATATTGCAGTTACACGCGTACAATAAATTATTTAAATAATTTAATATTCAACATTTAAGACCGAAATTCACATTTTTTTAATTTTTAATTTTTTAGGTATTTAACCATAAAAATTCGCGTGAATCTGAATTCTACTTTATTCTGATTTTCTCTTGCTTTAACTACCCCTCTTATTGATCTTGAATCTCAATTTTCATCGATCAGTTTTTTATATGCATTAGAACTTGCATATAGATGCCGGACAATCGAAAATTACAGAGCAATGTTGAAGGTATTTTCTTCATAATTTGATCATTTGATGATCTATATTGCTGATGAGTACGACTGGTTCAATTTTTTGTTTGTTATTTATTTATATATGTCGTAGATGCTATGAAGTCATTGACGATAGAAAGCAGAGAGGACAAAAATGGTGGTACAGGTCCGGGTCCATACCCGGGTCGACCTGGTGAACCTGATTGTATATACTATTTAAGGACAGGGACTTGTGGTTATGGAACCAATTGTCGTTTCAATCATCCGCCTAATGCAGGACAAGTAAATAGCAATTCAATGATATAATATATCATTTATTGAATGTTCATCAAGTGAAAGGAAGATTTTGATTGTTTTAATTTTTTTTTTCTCTGTGTTCTTGATGACTTTGAACAGAGTGTTCAAAGCACTGGTGAACTTCCCGAAAGAGTTGGACAACCGGAGTGTGGGGTAATTTATTCTTTCCTACTTAAATGGAAAGTATGTTTGCTACCTAATTGTTTTAGACTGTCCCATAGTTTGGTGTGTGAAAAAATATCTTTTTGAGTCAATCTAAATATAACCAACCAGTGTCCCTTTTGGATAATTGTGTCGAAATGTTTCTGTTGCTTATGATTCAATGAAATGAAATTTATTGTTTCTGCACACTTTAGTTATTTCGACTAAATTCAGGATCAACTCCTCAAGTCCGTTTTCACATATCCATTCCATTCATACATCTTGTAAAATTTCACTAAACTCGAACCATGTTAATTTTAACCTATTCGTTTTATAATCTATTCTGTTGATATCTCATTTTGGATGTCTCTGAAGTGATCCACGACTAAAACTAAAAAAATGCGTCAAGATAAAGCCTTTACGTGAAGGTATATATAAAATGTAAAAACTAAATTGACAGAAGAAGTTTCAGTGTCTTCAGTTTAGTGTATAATGAAAATATCTGCATTCTTATACCAAGCAATGAGATTTTATTTCTCATTTCTTCTGGGCTGGTATTAAAGTGATATTATTTCAAAATTAGCACTGTTCATCTAATATTATCTATCAGCATTGAGACTATCTTCAAATATTGACTTGTAAAATAAAGTAGCTAATAAAGTTTCTTTTGGTTATTTAGTGAAAAATGGTAAACGATCTAGTCTGAACATGGGTTGCTCTTGTGAATTACTATGAATGCTGAATGAAAGTAACTTAGTAGGCTTGTTTTATATTGGAACCATGGAATAAAAAGAGGGCTGTGTATAGCAAAATGTTTTCCCTCTCTGGAGTTCGATAGGTGATTTATTTTTAATGTGAATGATTCTTGACTCAGATGATGTCCAGAACTTTCATTGGTTATCATTGTAGATGGTATGCTGAGTGAAACTGCATGCCTGCATGGACATGAAATTATTTATTGGTAACATTGATCTCTCCACCTGTTGGATTGTTTTGCTTTGTTATGACATTCATCCGATGGTCCTTTTGCTGATGGGTGATTTTACCTTGTAGTTGTTGTACAAATCATGTAGTTTTGGAATTTACTCGAATTATATTCTATATGCATATTTTCTTACATGAATCGTAGGCTTTTAGTTAGAAGAAGCTTACAGTGGCTTCTGTAGAGGTGGAAATGCTTGGAGGTAATACATTCGAAATTTCTTTTCTTGTCTATTCAATTGAAGTCCTAAAAGCATAAATCAGCAGTGGAGAATAGGGTGAAGTTAATCTATTGATACTCATTTTAAATCTGTTGTTTTTGGTTATTTGCAGTGTGGAAATTCTTTTCAGCACTATTGAAATAGGTTCTTTTGTAAGTCGGTTATGCAGCCTCTTGTAATTAATTGCTTTTGTTTTGCAGTATTATCTTAAGACAGGTACTTGCAAATATGGAATGACTTGTAAATATCATCATCCCAAGGACAGGCGTGGTGACTCATCGGTCGTATTCAATAGTTTGGGGCTACCAATGCGTCAGGTACTTATGCTTTCTTAGTCTGGTTCTTCATCTCAGTGTTTCAATTCTTTTCAAGGTGAAACTATAAGAAAATAGTTTGTGATACGCAAATAGCCAAATATTTCTGAGAATAGATGCGTGTAGTAAGGTTATAATTAATCATTATTGACTGTGTATTCAGGGTGCAAAGCCATGTCCTTATTATATGCAGACTGGATTATGTAAATATGGATATGCGTGCAAGTTCCATCATCCTCAACCCATTTCAGCTGCAAATGTATCTGTAGCAGGTCATATTGTCTATGGTTTAGGTGGCTCTGTAGTTGAGCCTTCCTCTGGTGCACCTTCTGTCGGTCAACTTCCAGAATCATCATTATCGAAGGCAACATATGTATCTAGTTCCCTCCTTCAAGCCCAACAAAGCTTTATGCCTGTTGTTCTATCACCAGTGCAAGGGTGGAATGTGTACATGGTATGTGTTTTGTTCTGAAAATAAGTTTGATTTAATCTTTTGCGGTAAACACTTTGCTCACCACTGGTTGTTACTATGGAGAAGACCTTTCTTGAATGTGCAGTACGATAATGTCTTGTACCGTTTTATGTAGTTTTATTCAATGGATTTGTTGGAGCTCTTTTTAATTCCTTCCATTATACTAGATCAACATGTGTGTTTCTTTCTATGATCTGTTTTGAGTTTTCCTGTATCTTATCTGCAATTGCAACATTGCATAGTGGTATCTTTTCTGAACACATGAATGTGTCAGCTACAATTTGATAACTTAGCATTTCACTCCAAGTTGAGTGTCTAAATTTCTTAATAGCAGCTCTACATTTGCATGAATACTTGCAACAGTGACACCTAAGAGGAAATATCCTGTTATAGTTCCGCTACGTTGTTTCCTACATCGGACAGCTTGAGCATGAGAGAGCCTGTGAAATAAAATTTACTTGAGAACTTGAGAGTGTGTACTTAAAACATAACCCACATACATATGGAAAAAGAGTAAATTACCACTTCAGGTTACTGGGACACTCCATCTCTTCGTAAAATTAAAATAAAAAAAAAAATCCCTAAGGTTCGAATTTTATAACAGTTTCCCTGTCAGCCAAAAAAATTGTTTACCATTTACCCTTTTTCATTATACTAGATTGAATTTTTTACTAAATGATACTGAAACTATAATTTTTCCTTTCATTTTTCTTAACATTTATTTTTTATACCTTTCATTTAGATGATAGGATTTCTTTTAGTTATATGAAACATCGTATTGAATTATAAAAATATGATTTATTTATTAATGAAGTTATATAATTTTGCAAATATGATTCACAAATTAGTAACTAATCAACATTATTATGTGTTTCATAATGTTTTTAATAAAGATAATTAAATATATATTGAATGAAGACGGAAAGTCTTAATATTATGCTATCAACTGTAATTATATGCAATCACATTTTGAGGTACTAAGTAAAATATATGTTTTTTTCTTTTCCTGTTCTTCCTTTAAAATGCTGAACTTTGTTCTTCGTATTTAGTCCATTAAAAAAGGGGTAGAATCAACTTTTTGCTATATTTTTGTATCTCTTGATTTAGCATCATTTTCTTTAATTTTTATTTTTTAAACTCTTAATATCTTTACTTTGTTAAGTTCAGAAATTATAAAGAGCTAACTAGCATTCAAAGTCCAAAGCTTATATTTTTATTTTATTATTTTTTGTAGATAATATTTTTTATTAATCTTAATTTTTTTTCTTTTTTAAAATAAAATCAATTATTACAAAATTATTAATATGAAATAACTTGCAAATTTTAGAGGGAAAATTAACTTCATTAAACTAGAAAGAATGGTCTTATCTAAATAAAAATTAAGAAAAAGAAAAATAATTATAAAAAGATTTTTAAATCTAGCACAAAATGAAAAGGCGGAGTGAGAAATGTATATTTCCTTTTGCTAACCCAATTTCTAAAATGTTAGAGTGAAGTGTATCTATTGTGACACCCAAGTTCTAAAACCTGAGGGCCATAAATATAAATAAGTAACCAAGATAATACTTAAAAGGAATACTTAGATAAAACTTGTTATCATTTGCACCTAATGGTACAGATTTGTATTTTGTATCCGCTGAGCAAATTATTGAAGGGATACATTATTTAGAACTATTTTGGGAATGATTAACTTAGGTTTAAAATTAATGGTTTTGGTGAATTTTCTCTTCACTTCTTAACAAGCCACGCAGAGCAATTGATGGACGAGGACTGAAGCAGGCAATGCAAGGCTTTTCCAACATTTTGAATATGATGTGTCTTACTTTCTGAAAAGGAAGGTTATATTTAAGAAATTGACACATGGGCACAAATGTCTGATCTACCACTAGTTATGTACAAAGTGGTTGTGTGCAGTAAGCAACACTACAATACGTCTCTTGCCTCCTAAAATTATTTCACTTTGGGATCTAGAAGGATTAGTCACAAGCATAGGATAAGTCCTAATACTACATTACCTTGAGGATCAGATGCCAGAATTTTGACACACTGATTCCCACCTATCTCTAACCTTATGTATCTTATTTCATCAATCGGCAAACTAAAAGGTGTTATTACAGAAATAGCCACTGCAGTATATCTGCTTCCTTGATAAAGCACGTATAGATCAAAATGTCCGGTGAAATATTTAAACCAAATGGACACTTTGATAATGCACTCTAGTCCAAGTTCAATTTATCGCATATGGTTGTTTGTGGCTTATTTAATACGGGAAACAATGCAATTTGTACCTTTCATGTTTTATGTTGCAGTGCTAATTTATTTATTCATTTTTTTTTCTGACAATTAGGGAGGTATCAACCCTGTATCTGTAACTAGTGGGCTCGGTCTGCCAGTTTTTAATGGGCAGCTATCAGCATCTCATCTGCCAGAGAGACCTGATCAACCGGAATGTCGGTACTTTATGAACAATGGAAGCTGTAAATATGGATCAGATTGCAAATATCACCACCCTAGAGAAAAGATTTTACAATCAGCATCAAATTTTCTTGGGCCACTTGGGCTCCCTTTAAGACCTGTAAGTTGATTCATTCATTAAGATGTCTCTTCATCTTCAGCAGTTACGGTGACATGTATTTTAAATGAAAATATTATAATGCCAATTAAGATTGAAAATAAGAGATTTTAAGTTTCTTCAGATCATAAAAATGCTGTCTTGCAGTAGAAGTCAAATCAGTTAGAGCACTAAAGTAGACATTTGTAGTTAAAGGATATGATGTAATTATACTTTCTCATGTTGACTCAACATCTAAAATATGGCAATATTACTCCATGAAGTTAATTCGCACATTTATTCTTTGTAATTCCTTAGATAAACAAATGTTTTTTACAGAAACACTTCATTATGTTAAATTATAATAATGGCGTGTTTGAATAAGTATATTTGATAAATAATGTGTTTTCTGGCAACAGCATCCTCTTAGTAATTGACATTTAGTTAAAATATTTTATGGATCAAAAGTGAGTGGTGATTTGTGAGATGATCTAGGTAGGACTATCCCTTAATGTGGCAGATGGCACCACTCTCACCCAGATGGATTAACTATTGGCTTATCTTGTGTTTTTTAGGTTGGGGTCAAATAACTTAAGCCAGGAAAAAGTACAAAATCTGAGTGCATGACTGTAACCCTTTTTTCCAAAAGTTCCGCAGGTTCAACACAATTAAATAATTTTTCACCAAAAATTGTTGAAATCATATTTTCCAGAGAGCATCTCCAGTCCCTTTCCCATCGTACTGGTCCTCGCATCGCTGCACACAATCTCTACAGCTAACAAGTTTCCTGAAGCAGTTCCCGAACTGCATCACTGAATACTACCATATCTTATGATACCTTTAGAAATGCCATTCTGATCACCAATTCCTCCACCTCCATTGTATTTAAAGAAAATTCGATCAGGAGTGGGAGCTAGGTTTGGTGAATTAGCAGGGTTGGACATTAGTGAAGAGAAGGTGGCTATGGGTGGTGCAAATTGTTGGGAACGGGATTTGAGTTGGAGGTTGTGGGTATTTTGGAGGTGAGTATAAAGCTCCAGATTAGGATGGACAAGGGAAAAAGGCGACAGAAGAAAATAAAAATGGAAATAAATGTCTAGTCACCTTATATAGGAAAGGAAAAAAAAATGAAAGGGAAATAAATTTATAGTAAGCTGGAGGACTTTGAGTCCTCTTCGAGCTTGTCCACCTGTTGGGGATTTGGTGTTTCTAAATGAGAAAGATAAGTTTCAGGAGCACTTGTGAATAATTTACGGCACTGTACAGTCAAAGTTTCTGTGAAATAGATTTATTTTGTAATTTGATCCTCTTCAGGACTTTGAAATAATGAGATAGGCAATGGGTTATCCTTGGTGTTTTTTAAGCCCCTATTTGGTTTGGCTAAAAATCAAATTCTTAGTAGATTTTGATAAAAGTTGATGAAATATGTGGTTGAAAGTTGATAAAAGTTGTCGGTCCTGTAAAAGTGGTTGAAAATAAGTTTTACATAGAATTAGTTTTAAACGGGGTCATCAACACTTTGACATGGAAGTGCCAGTAGCTACAATGGTTTTCGTATGCCACCATTTGAAAATTGCTTGATATATATAAAGACTTGTTTCTGCTTTTGATTATTTATACGGGGCAAATATGTATGAGGTACCTTTTGCTTGTGATTATGTCATTTTATCTGATTGATAACAGATACAAGATTGTGGCTAGAAATTTCGAGTCGATAACTGATATAAGATTGTGGCTACAAAACTTGGATTATTTTGCAATGGCATGTCTAGTGGGTTGAGATCGTGTTTAGCTCGTTGGCTTGGATCATGACAAGAAATCAAGATTTATGTTTGATCCAGGACTTTTGTGAGATAGACATTGAGAAAGATCTTTTTCCGGTGTTTGGATCTGAAGGAAAAGCAAGGCGAATGAGTGCTAAACATAGATGGTGGAGACATATTACTGTTTATACATCTTGTTCCTTTCACTTTAAATGACATTCAATTTCTTTCAAATCTATCTAATCATTTTAAGAATCATCATTTTTCTTTGTGGATACAGGGATCAGCTTTAGTGAAATCTAATATACTCAGCCCCCAAAAAATAAACAAACCAGAGACAGGACGTGCTAGTGTGTTGGCACCTGTGGTGGGTGTGGGTTTCGGTTTATGGCCTGGAAAATTATTGATGGAGGAAACCCTTTTTGCTAACTAAGATAGATTAGATAATAAGGAAACCCATAAATATTCTTTATTTGGAGAAAGTCAACGAATATTGTTGATCATTAGTGTTTGCTTTTCTTGTGGTTGATTGATATTTTATTGTTCAAATGCAGGGTCAACCTGTATGTGTATTTTACACTCTTAATGGACTTTGCAAATTTGGTCCTACTTGTAAATTTGACCACCCCATGGAAGGATACAGCTCCTTCACTCTTCCTTCTCCACCCATAATTCATTTGCCTTGGCTTCCTTATCAGAAAACTCCTTCACTTGCAGTGTTATCTGAAACATCTTCCTCTAAATCATCAAAGTTTACGGACTGGATCAGGAAAGGTGCTACAAGCCACAAAAATCAGGATTCAAACACGAAAGATCTTGAAGATATGCCTGGACAGTCTGATTCTCGACCTCATTCATCCAAAGCATCTTCGGAGATCACGCACAACGAATCTGATTGAAGTCAAAGTTTTGTCAAAATTGAAGTTAATGACTTGGTGATGCCTTTTTGTTTCTCTAGTTATCATCCTTAGGTGAATAAGTTCCATGAGAAAATGACTTCTTTTTGAATCATCAATTTTGTTTTCTATTGCTTAGTCTCTGTGGATTACTGTCCAACAACAACACACTTCCTATGGGTTTAGTGTTGTAAGTGACTAATGTTGGAACTTTATTAAAACTTAAACTTTATGATCTAGTCAAGATCTTCATGTCAAATCATCAAGAAACTGAATTAACGCGGAACATACCTTAATCAATTGATTTCTGACTTGAACAATGAATTTTGAATCTTGATCTGTAAATCTTCAATTTAATTGCTTCAAATCTCCATCTTAATTCCTAATTGTGGGTTTTATGAATCTTCCTCTTCATATGCTTTCTCTTGTATTCTTGTGTTGATGGGATGGATACCACAAAGAATGAGATAATCACACATGAATTGGGGATCATAACTCTTTATATATTTCCATATGTATTCGGCTCATCGTCAAATACAAACCCTAATGGATCCGGTCTCTACACATATAGTCCTGCCAACACTTTAATTAGATGCTTAAAACCCAATTACTTAATTCCTTATTAGATCATTTTAATTTTGGACTTAACTTTAAGATAGCATTTATACACAGTTAATTACATATGTCGGCTCATCACGGCAAATTAAATAATTTCCCAACAACTAATACATTTCTTGGTGACTTGATCGTGGGCAAAGTGAAAGATAATTGATATGTTCTTTATTTGGGGGTGAAAAACTAGATTGACATACAATTAATTGGCACTAATGTTGTTGGAAAAAAAAAAAAAATTGGAGTTGAAACAATGACATGAAGTTGCTCTAGCAAAATTTTGGAGCCAATTAGCTAATGCGACAGCAAAAGAAATTTCCTGATATTTAACTTCGGTTGAGAATGAGGAATGAGAAAAATACATAGCCTTTTGCTTTTGGCACTTGCAAATGCTAGAATCTGAAGAGAGGGGATTCACTGGGATCTCTTTTCCTCCTCCCTTCTGACACCTAGAAAAGCGAATGAACATACTATGATTCAAGGTGCATTTGAAATAACATAAGACTCTTAGCTGTTGTCTAATGAGTGGCTCTAGCAGCATACATGTGAAAGTTTGTTGGCGACAAAGGAGATATTGAGTGTTTCACGTTAAAGCAGCATTCTAAAAAGTGTAAAGTATGGTTAGATGTGGAGTTCAAGTTTCAAGCTTTACGTGTCCAGACGAGCCTAGGCGAGGTCTAAGCGTAAAAAAACGTTTTTTTTTAATTATTTTAAATTTTTCATCTTTCCAAAACTTATTTAATAATTAAAATAATACATATTAAACATTTAAAAATATAAAGTACTATATTTACTTAATAATTTCAATAATTAGTCAATTATTCAGTTTTCAAGGTTTTGAAATGTAAAAGTTAGACTATTTTTCATAGTTTCAACTTTCAACTTTCAATTAGACAACTCCTACTTGAAATTTTCTAACTTCTCATTTTTTTACTTTTGTACAGATAAAGTCATTTAAAATTTTGTAACTAAAGTTAAATAAAAGACTCTTAAAAAAAGAAAAAAATAAAATAAAAATTAATAAAGCACCACTAGAAGCTCATTGCCAATGGGTATCGTTTTGCCCGAGCCTCGTGCATAGACGGCGCCTAGGTGCTGCTTTTGGACGAGCCTTCTAGAACACTACGTTATATAGAGAGGTTTGTGATTCCAGTTAAATTGAGCTGGCCTTTATAATGAGGATCATAGTTTTCAGAGAAAGCCAGGAGGTTTATAATCAGTGACATGTGGCTTGATCAGAACAAAGATACGAACACTGAGTTGTGGAAATTTGGAGCGAGGTTTCATATACCGATGAAGCCAAGCAACCAAAGACACAATATTTGTGATAATTGGAAGAGGTTTTCTTTCATTTGCTAAAGGGTGAAATCAATTCGAGGAAGAAGAAATAGAAAACAATGTGTTGTAATTTGATAAGTACATTTTTGTGCATTTATTCGGGTTATCTTACTAAGCTTTTGTGTCGTTTTAGTATTGAATTTTACTTAACTTAGGTTAATTTGTCTTATTTTAATTTTGGACTTGTTTTTAAGCAATTGGAAAAGAAAGAATGATCAATTGGTCAATAGATAGAAGTTTGGGGACTAACATACATTTGAGTAAAAGTTGAAGTACTAAAAGTTGAAGTTATTTGATGTGAAGGACTAAGATGGAAGAAAGAATGAAAAAAATGGCTGAAAGGAAAATTCATGAAATTTTTATAACTGGGCAGTCACCCGTTTATAGGCTGACTGACCCTAAATTTCAATAGTAAGGGTCATTTGATATGCTTGAGCAGCCGTCCCATTTTCTAGTGGGTGTCCGTCCAGGCTAAATAAGGGATAAATTTCTGATTTCCTAATTTGATTCAAACTCTTATGAAAACAAATCTTGTGACATCTTTTAAAGACCTAGGGCCGTCCACCACGCAATATAACATATTCCAACAGATTTTGGGAGCATAGAAAGAAGCAAGAACACAAAGATTGATTTCAAGACCCGAATATTCAATTTAAACTTTATTTGGATGATGTTGAATCTTCATTATTTCTTTTGTTTTCTTTTTCATAAAATGCTAGATTAGTTTTCTTTGTGCTAAGAGAATGATGAATCATGTAATATAAGTTTTAATTTTTAGTTTTATGTATATGACATTAAAAACACGTTTTTGGATATTGAATGATTTATATGATTTTCTTTTCTCCAAAATTATTGCACAGTAGTTGTATAAATTTGGTGGCTTATTTCATACATTCGAAAGAAGGAAAATAGGTTCGACATATATAAATTGTCATAGGGTCTGACAGAGGATAAAAATATATCACCATGCCTTATGTGAATTTTTAAGTGTTCATAAAGATTCATACACTTTTATATGTTCGCATCCATAATAGAAATATAGTTGGGTCATATATAAAAGTAAGTTTAACATTACTCGAGAGAGATTATTTACTAAAATATAAACATTGATTCGACAAAATTCAATCGTGTTGTCTACGTGTAAAACTAGGGTCAAAATTCATTATTGCATGAGAATTCGGGATCCTAGTATGAAATACATCGATCTGCCTTTTTAATAATTTGCATATAAGTTAGTTAAGTTACAAATTATTGCATAAGTAGATTATTTCATTCATAAATTGGTAACAAACAAACAAACGCATTACATTATTTTTATTTTGGTTAAGGTCGCTATAATTAAAATCGAACTAATTAATCTTTGTGGAACGATATTTTGACTCAAAATCCACTTTATTACTTGTTAATGAATCGTAAACTTGCGGTGATTTTAATTTGAAATATATTTTCGTGAACATAATTCAGTTCAAATAAAGATTTCACCTTCCCTCCAATGCCCTATTTGTTTGGCAATCTAAAGCTTATAATTTCAATAAAGCTATTTGCACGAAGTTGGGTTACAAAAGTTGGATTACAAAGTGTGTTGGCAAAATCAAAACCGTCGATTTTCAATGATTTAAAAATTTGTTTTTAAAATGATTGGTGTAGATGTTATTTTGTCAACCAACTTTGTAACCCAACTTTATACACGTAGCATAACTCTTATAATTTACTCGTTGAAATGTAANCAACTTTATACACGTAGCATAACTCTTATAATTTACTCGTTGAAATGTAAGAACCAATCAGAGACGTCTTTTATTCCACATCCACGTTTTATTTTGCATTAATACATACAAATGCTCGTTATGACTCTTCGTACTGCTCAAAAAAGCTCAAAAGAAGCCATTTCCTCTGTGCTCGTGCACTTAATTGACAACAGCGCAGCGTTTCCTGATCTCACCAGCGTTTCCTGTAACCACACCAATCTTACCCATTTTCACCATGGATTTTGCAATATCCTTGAAGAAAGTTGATCCATGGGAAGTGGCTTGAAGTTTAACGTAACCCTTTGTCTCATCAAGAAGAGCTGCATCAAATTGAAATAACCCTATTCATTTAGCTACTAGCGTATAAATTTCTGTCCGCTTTGCTCGTCTCTAATTCGTTTTATTTTTT